GGGACCCCCCGGGACATTTTTTCCAATTGTCGGGAATGATAGAGCAGGGTCTGGGGGTCCGGATGGGACCAAGAAGAAGACCCCCGGAGCCTCCAGAATATTTTTATTGATTTTTTGAAAAGATGACGAAATCCAAAAAAGAGAGTGACTGAGTTAGAGGGAGCGGAGAAGTGAGTAGCCAGAGGGAGCGGCGTGGAGCTGCGGGCGGTCGCTGCGCATTTCTTCGCCTCCCCGTTTTGTATATTTAATTTCACCTCTCTCTCTTTTTTTCTTTTTTTCAGGCTTTTGGGGAATCCCCCAGCACGGATGGGCTATTTAGATTTACCCCAATTTCCTCATCTTTATTCTTATCACATATTCTACTTCCCACCCACAAAAAAATAAATACATATTTTTTGGTAATTTCCATAGACTTATGATTTTTTTCATTTTTCCCCTCTTTTCCTGATATTGTTTTATCCCCCCTTCCTCCGACTCTTTCCCACACTGTAGGTCTGTGAGGAGCAGAAGTGTGAGGAGGAGGTCTTCCCTTTGGCCATGAATTACCTGGACCGCTTCTTGGCTGGGGTCCCAACCCCTAAGACCCACCTTCAGCTCCTGGGTGCTGTCTGCATGTTCCTGGCCTCAAAGCTCAAAGAGACCATTCCGCTGACGGCAGAAAAGTTGTGCATTTACACGGACAACTCCATCAAGCCTCAGGAACTGCTGGTAACGACCGTCCCCTTTCTCCCTCCCTTTCATCCTGTCCCTCTCTTCCAGCCCTCTCCTAGCTCTCTTCTGGCCTCTTACACTTCTATCACGGTTCTCCAAACAGATCCTTACGATGCAGAATTACCCACCACTGGAATGTTCACACGTATGGGGGAGATATTTCTTTTAAGAGATTTTTTTATGTGTTCCCACTATGTGCGGGACACTGCTGAGTACTGAGGTTACATCCACAAATAAGATCCTCGGGGAGATTTGTGTTGGTGAGATTCATTTGCTGTGTGTGTGCGCGCAGGGGAGGCATGGAACACGACGATAGTATTTTAATAAAATTCTAAATTTTCAGTCACTGAATTCTGAAAAAACAGTCCAACTACAAGACAGGAATGTGTTCATGTGATAGGAATGTGTGTGGTGTGGCCCCTAAGAACTTGAGGTTCAAAGGTAGTGCCTTATATATAGCTATAAAGTCCCAAGATACCTGCACATAGTAGCTGTTCACTAAATAGCTCACTGACTTTTTGATCAAAGTCACAACGTGGCCCTCATTGGAGGAATCTGAGACATGCGCTCCTGCCTCCGCTTGGGGCTGTGATCTCTACAACCACGGGGGTCCTATCTTGACTGGATTTCTGCCAGCAAACCTTTTTGCCACCTAATCTAACTCTTTTTCTCTGCAGCTTCACACTTAAGACGTCCATGTTGCAGCAGTGGAATGGTAGAGCGACCCACCTTCAGTGGTCTGCACACCTTTCTCCCTCCTAGGGTTTAGAAAAAGGTCCCTCGGG